ATTCCTTGGGCAAGAGGATACGTAGGCAGTCTTTAGATGCAGCCGGTTTGATCAGTTGATCAAGATGGGGGGAGATCGTGTTTCAGCTCGAGTATTGTTCCTGGACCTGTTGAGGAACTATTGGATGGTTTGGTGTCGGCTCAGTTTTGGTGGAAACATTCGCCGAGGTGGAGAATTGAAGGAATTTCAGCATCAGCAGCAGAATCAGGAAAAACAGGCGGCGGTCGACCGGTCCGGTCGACCGCGGTCGACCGGGCCGGTCGACCGACGAAGCGGATATCAGTTTTTCCAGTTTTTTGACCCGTTTCGTTTTGTAATCTATAAATACCCTAAACCTGATTTGTTAGGGTAACCTCAAGGACGATTTTGAGCAGCCTCCAAGAGAGTTTTGTTGCATCCAATTGTGGGAGAGATTTGAGAGATTAAGTGCTTTGTTTTAGGGTTTAGTCTGAGAGATTTGTAACCCTATTTGTATTCCCTTGATTTCTAGTAGTAAGAACTTCCCCCTCCTTGCCCCGTGGACGTAGGCAACTTGCCGAACCACGTAAATTCTTGTTCTTGCTGTGATTGTGGTTTGCATATTATTTGTGGTTTAGTTCAAGTTATTGTTCGTGTTGCCCTAGAAAGCTTCCGCCGCGCACAACATAAATGAGCGTAATTATTTTTGGATGTAAATGAGCTAGATGAAAGCTCATCATTTTGCCTAACAACTATGGTACATGTATTAAACTTATATTTGTGCAAAACTTATGCTACTATCTCTATCTTCATGCATCTCAGTCGTAGCTTTATATGTTATATTATAAACTTGGTATGCTAATGCTTTATGTGTTTGACAGGTTTACAAGTGGGGTTCTATAATGATTTCCCTCGATGAATTAAAATTAAAGAGGTATGCATATTTTGTGTTATGATGATGGGCTTCAATGTTGAAGATATGCATGTAAAGTTTATACTAGTGATCAATTGGCGAGGCAGTAAATGCAGCCAACATTGCTATTATAAACTTCATGGCGTGGCATATAATGAAGAAAAGAGCCTTTTCTGAGCACATTTTCTATAATTTCTTTTGAGCTTTGGTTTGATTTCCATCTTGGCTTGTTTGGCCCTTTTGAGCTCAGTTTTTGTGGTTTTCCATTGTGAGGAACATGTTGCAATGGTGTTTGTTTGGCCTCATGTTGCTTGGCCCTTGGTCAGCATGGTTGTGTTGGCCTTTGGTCTTTGGTTGTGTTGGCCTTTGGCACAGCTTGGCCTTTGTTTCAGTTGTGTTTTTTTGTGGTTTCCATTGTGTACCTAACATGTTGCAATGGTGGACATATGTCGTTTTCCTTGGTTGCAGCCTCTTGTTGCTTGGCCCTTGGACCCTAAATTGTTGTGTTGGCCTTTGGTTGGCCTCTGGTTTCAACTTGGCCTCATGTTGCTTGGCCCTTGGTCAGCATGGTTTCAACCTCCTCTCTGCCTTGGTTTCACCTCTTGGTTGTGTTGGTTTGCTGTTTCCATGTTGGTTGTGAGTCTGAATTTGTGTTAGAAGCAGACCTTTGGTTTCAGTTGCTTGGTCTTTGGAGCTAAGTTGTTGTGTTGGCTTTTGGTGAGTCTGAATTTGTGTTCCAGTTGGCCTTGGTTTCAGCTCTTGGTTGTGTTGGTTCGAAGGTTCCATGTTGGTTGTTTGGTTTGTTGTTTCCATGTTGATGATTCATGTCCAGGTGTGTGCTTTCCTTGGTTGCAGCCTCTTGTTGCTTGGCCCTTGGACCCTAAATTGTTGTGTTGGCCTTTCGTTGGCCTTGGTTGCAATGGTTTCAGCTCTTGCTTGTCCTTTGGTTGGTCAGCTATGGTTGGCCTTCGGATTCAGTTGATGCTTGGCCTTTATTTCAATTTTGTGCAGGTTTATTGTACTCTCTGCCTTGGTTTCAGATCTTGGTACTATTATGTGTTGTTGGTCAGCTATGGTTGGCCTTTGGTTTCATGTTGATGCTTGACCTTTGTTTTAATTTTGTGCATGGCTTCAACCTGCTCTCGGCCTTGATTTCAGTTCTTGGTTGGTCTTTGGTTGATATGCATATTTTGTGTTATGATGATGGGTTATTTTTAAGATATGCAGCCAAAGTTTATAGCAACATTGAATTGGCCAGGCAATATATTGCAGCCAACATTGCTATTTATAAACTTTATGGCGAGGCAAATAATGAAAAATAGCATTTTCTGAGCACAACTATGATGATGGGTGGTAATCTTACCATGGTGACCACAATCAAGTTTTCTTGATTTTTTAGTTTGAACCAAATACTAGAAAAATAGCCTTTTCTGAGCACAATTATTTTCTTCTTTTTTCAAGTTGAACCAAACACTAGAAAATGATGTAAAGTACTTTCACTATATATTTTTGGGCGAAACAAACACAAGAGACATTTTTCAGGAAAGTGAAGGAAACACAAGAAAGTGAAGGAAAGTCATCTATGGAAAGTGAAGGAAACGAACCAAACAGGCCCTAAGATGAAAGAAGAGTGTAATGAAGATTTTGTTTCATCATATTGGCGGCCAAATGACGATAAAATAATTGATATATGAATACGGCCAATTCATTTTCTAGTCACGAATACGGTAAATATCCATATTATTTTGATAACAAAAACGATTCACATCTACGTTCGACAAGCGTAGATGAATATCAATTGGACGTACACCGCCGACTATTGAAAGTAAACACTCTTTTTTTGAGGGAGTTACTGTCCCTACTTTTTAGTTTATTCTTCCGTTTTCATAAAGAAAAATTCTTTAAGGACCCAAAATATGGGACCAATAGGGGGGACAAGTGAGGTGTCCCCCTCTTATTGGATAATGAGTTGGCCATCATTAATGATGGCCAACTCATTATCCAATAGGAGGGGGACACCTCACTTGTCCTCTTTATTGGTCCCATATTTTGGGTCCCTGTAGCAAAGCTCTTTCATAAAATCGTCCTCTTGCCGCTGACCACGTCTTTCTTTTTGGAAAATTGCCGTAGTCTAGTAGCTAACAACTTCTTCATATTTATTTGTACATATTTAGAAATTGGATAGAGTATGTTGTTTAAATAGGTAAATCCATAAACTTACAAGAGATAACATAGTGAGAGAAACTTAAAAAAAGAAGCAATTTCTCTTCATGGCTTTTTTCCTTCAAAAATTTGAGGGTGACACATCTAACATTTACTCAATAGGCCAATGTACAATATTGGGAAGCTCAAACGTATAGGAAGGGCTACGTTTTTCTTAGGACACGGGTCCTGCCTAATTTTATCGACACGGAACACAACAAAGCAACACTTAGAGCATCTCCAACAGTTTCCCCATTTTATTGGTATTCTCACTTTTGGAGAATTTTGGGTTTTTTTTTGGTCTAACAGTTTCCCCATCCCATTCCCCAAAAATTGGGATGAAGGAGAAAAAAAAGGGGAGCCTTCCCCAAATCTGTAGCATTCTTCAAATTTTTAGGGAGAGCTTTTGTCATAGATGTTTCACGTTCTTCAAGTCTCCAACTACTCAAAAAAGACTCAACACTATAAAATGAGGGGGCAAAAAATAAAAAGTTCATGTCTAAATCTTTATTGTTAAAGTTCATATTAAAGATATAGGGTATTTTTATTATTGTAATAAATGTAGGATTCTTCAAAATGGGGAAGTTAATGAAGTTGGAGCAAAAATAATTTGGAGAATATGACTTTTGTTTTTCCCATTTTGGAGAAAATTTTAGGGAAGATGTTGGAGATGCTCTTAAGATGAAGTACGAAATGCTGGTAGATAAAACTTAATATCGAGAGGAAGTGAACGGAAATAGATAAACTTACATATTGCATAATTTATAACAAAAGCAAAATTCGAAAAGTAGAGATGAATTATGAATAATATCTGTTGTTGCTAAACACTTTTCTATGTGTGTGTGTATATATTTCAAGGCAATCGAAAGATCATAGTGACTACACAATCCCATAATATTGTTTCTTGATTGAGTGAAATGTTTGATATCGGCAATGATGCCAGAGGTCCAATACAGATGCAAATAATAAAATTATTAGTAATCAAAAGATCTCAGAAATACTCTATCAGTAAGGACTAAATTATAAACTAAGTTGAAAAGTCACTTTCCTTCATGCAGCCACTTATTGACAATGATGGAGCTAGAATTTTGTCTTATTGGTGTTCCCATATAACTTATTATAGTTGCATTTGGAATCTATATTAAGAAAAATGTCTCACTGACCCGAAAATGTGATAAATAGAGGGGGACTGGTGACGTGTCCTACTCTATCTATCCTATTTTCGGATCCCTGTAGAAGCACCCCCATATTAATTGTTTTACTAGTTATCTTTCCTAGTGGTGTCCTACCCTATTCTCGGTGGTGCCCTATACAGTAAGTACGAGTAAAAGTAAATGAAAATACATATAGGGGCTGTTTGGTTGTTGTTAGTAAAGTTGTGTATTTATGACGTAACTTGGAAAATTGTTGTCCACCTCATCAATTTCACTTTTATACTTTTCTTTGTTTGTTTTTGATTCCATTAGAATCATAAATTGCTTGTTTGGTTTACAAATGTAATTTTAATTGTTTGTTTGGAAAGTGTAAAAAGTGGTCCCTACTCAAATGATCATATTGGTTGGAATTATTTTTTATTATTTTTTCCTAACTTCAATGTTAGCTTTCTCCTAATTTTTTTATGAAATCACTTTACAAGCCACATCAGCATATGAAATCACTTTACACTATTTTCACAACTACAAACAAACAATTGAAAGTGATGAAAGCTGACATTGGGACCCACTTTTTTACACTTTCCATCCTTTTACATGGTAAAAACATACAACCAAACAGCCCCATAATGTAGGAAGTTCAAGTCACTTGTTAACACTTCCGTGATAAAAAGATTTCTGGGCGCTTCTTTAACTAATATTTACATTTTTATTTACTATTTTTTTGTTAGTCAATTTTTTATTTGCTAATTGGGGGCCCAAACTAGGGTTGGCAATTTTGACCCATACCCATTTAACCACCCTGCCCGCCCATCATTTGGCCCGCCTAAAGCCCACCCATTTAGCTAAATGGGTCTAACTGGGCGGGTCAGTTTCAAACAATCCTAAATGGGCACTAAATGGGCAAACTATATCCGCCCGTTTGCCCGCCCGTAGCCCTAAAACCCCTAAATCTCTTCCCGACCACAATCCTTCCTCCTTCGCCTCCTCCTCCGCTGTTCGAGCTCATCTGCAGTTCGAGCTCGCCTTTGATCTCCTCTCGCGGTGAGCTCCAGCTCCAGCTCCAATCTCCGCTCCTTCTCAATCTTGACCTCTTCTCGAACTCCGCTCGATCTCAGCCTGGACTCAGCCTCAATCTCCTCTCGACCTCGACCTTGACTCGACCTCGATCTCCGCTTGATTTTAGCCCCAATCTTTGCTTGATTTCATCCTCTACCTCAGCTTGCATCTCCAATCGATCTCCTCTCCTTCGCCTCCAAATTCATCTTTTGTGGTTGTCGTTGGTTGCAATCAGATCTCTCGAGGTATTGTGTTCCTTATGTTGTTTTTCATTTGTTTTGATTTGTTCTGTAATATATTTTCTTGATAAATTACATGATAAAAGATGAAAAATTGCATCTTGCTGCATAATCTTGCGTAGTCTGTCGTTTTGTGTCGGTGTCTTGAGTTAGTTGGGAGGTCTGTAGCGAGCCCTTCCATTGAATGATTCTTATTGAAGGACATTGTTTTGTTTTGAGAGGTAGGGACTGCGGAGAGCGAGCCCTTCCATTGAATGATTCTTATTGAAGGACATTGTTTTGTTTTGAGAGGTAGGGACTGCGGAGAGCATCCTCAGTGTTATGGAGAGGGAAGTGTTGGTCTGTGGATTTGAGGTTCAGGAGATCGCGTAGTCTGTCATTTTTGCTAAAACAAATTTAATCATTATGATAGAGTGCATACAGGTTGTTTTTTATGTGCAGTAGTGACAATCTGGAATGTACATGAAGTGGATGCACCTCTTCAAATTATTCATTAGGCAGTTCCTTTATTTTAAATAATCCCCTGCAGGCATTAGTGTCATTGCTGGATGCAACTGAAAAGGAAAAACGCGATATTCTTGCAAATATTATCATTGCCTTGCATATGCCTGCTGTCGCAGTGTTTTGGCATGAACCTGGGTGTGAACTAAAGAGGTAAGTAACTGAAACAAAACTGCATATTTGTAGTTAAAAGCTAGCAATAATATACATCGCATCTAAAGAGGTAAGTAACTGAAACAAAACTGCATATTTGTAGTTAAAAGCTAGCAATAATATACATCGCATCTAAATTCTAACATGACAATGTTTCAACTGCATATTTGTAGTTAAAAGCTAGCAATAATATACATCGCATCTAAATTCTAACATGACAATGTTTCAATGTGTCTCATTAGTGATACTCGACATCTATGATTAAGTAGGTGTTCAAGTGTTTTCTTGTGAACTTGAGAACATGTTTATTTGTTCGATTATTCAATTTGTAGGACATGTTTACTTCAAAAAATAAGTTCACAGGACATATAAACTATTCCTTACACATAAGCATAAATTTCATATCATGCGATCTTTTGTTTTGGTGTTTTTTTTTTAATGACACGAGTAACCGATAGGAGGTAAAAGGAGATCATTTCAGATGATATTTATATGAAGTCTCTGGTAGAGAACATTAATGCGTTCAAAAAATATTACACTGAGTTTACATGTCAGCCCAACATTTGAAGAAGGATAGGCTGGCTTGGGTCATCTCTTTTGGTAGTTGTTGAGAAATTTATTTCATCGTTGAATTGTGACCGTAAATTTATGGTAACTTTACAGAAAGATTGCATAATGTTGATGCTGAAAGAAAATCATTCTTCAAATCAGCTGAGAGCATTATTTGACGTTTCAAATAAATTGGTCAAGATTGCATAAAGAATGAGGTATTACAGAAAGAAAATCATTCTTCAAATTTGAAATAATTTTACTTGTACATTCATAAGTTGATGCAGGTATCATTTAGCTGCTAACAAGTGTCATAGATGCTGGGGTTGCGGAAACTAGGTGGGTAATTGGTTTTAGTATTGGAGGATTGAGAACGGAGGAGGTAGAACGGGAAATGCTAACTTAATTAGTAAGGAATAGGCTAGCTTGAAGAGATGCTTTATTTTGAATTAGTTGAGACTTGATTATACAAAGCTCACGCTCATCACCTAGAATATTGATATTTTCATGACACGTGAAACTTTCTAGAGAAATTCTATACTAATCCTAACTCTAGATACATCCATTTGTTGTCATATATCTAATTCCTATGATGTTGTTTTCGTCGATTTTTGATTTTTTATGTAAATACCGTATAAATGGATACTGACTTCCCATGTTTTATTAAGTTACTTTGAGCTATAATGTTCAACCGTGTTCATTTATCTATTAACACTCTTTATTTTTTGAAGTTTTTTTTCGATGTTCCAGTGTACAGAGTTCACAGTTATTGCCGCAACTCCTTTTGCACCATCCTTCAACTTCGAAAGGCAGTCTCCTTGATTATGGACCACTGCTCCGAGAATGTGAACAGATGCTTTCCTTTCTGCAATGGTTTAGAGTCAATGATTGTGCTGAGTTTGTTGCCAATGATGGGCAAATAGTTGATGTCATGTGAACATTGCATTTACTGTGAACTTCTCCCCCTTCATTAGTTCAAATGACTAGGGAGGATTTAGCCACACGCTAAATTAGAATGTAATCCCTTTTACAATGGTGTATAAGCAAAAAAAGATAAATGGTATTGGTATGACATAGATTCCTTAATGGCATCAAATGGAAATTATTTTTATTATTAATTAAAAGTAATAGTTTCTACAAGTTGAGGATCTCTACAGTAGTTCTGGAATTTAACTTCTGCCATCCTATATTTGTCCTCATAAGGTTAAAGGTCTTCTGAAAGAGAAAAGGCTTGAGACTTTGATTGATCCTGAACTACAAAGCAATTATATAGAGGATGAGGTAGAGTCTCTCATTCAGATTGCCCTTCTCATTTGTATTTGTTTGGATATCTACTTGAGTTGTTCCTGTGAAAATGGGATTGGTTGCAGAAAACCACCCTTGTAAATCCAGGTAAAGCGAAAAAAGAAGTTTGCAGAGTGCATTGCACAAACTTATTCAGGTAAAGCGAAAAAAATTCAGCAAGATGTGTCCAATAGGTGGAATTCTACGTTTCTAATGTTGGAGAGTGTTTTGAACTTTCGTATGTTAGCAAAAGTATTTAACTGTGTAAGTATCTTAACTGTGTTTCTGCATGCAGGATTCACTGGTGGAGACTGCCAAAGAGCAAGCTAGTTCCATAAGCAATATGATTGCACAGGCTACCAAGTAGAATTTTGTTCCCATTGTTTTTGCTGATATCATGTGAGAGATGAAAATTCATTGTATATGGTCTTCTGAGCTTTTTCATACACTATATTTTCCCTTTCTGTAATGTTAGAACAACATGATTGTTCCGAACTTGTTTTTCCTGCGTGGAGTAACTGACATTTTTACCCCATCATTATTGAAAATTATCGAATCGAGAATTTAAAACTGATGAGCTCTCCTCAAGTTACATTGATACTCTTTCTCTCTCTGAAGTCCACTCGTGGGGTTATTGTGGTATTTTAAGGCGAGTTGTGATGATTATTCATAGGACAGGTTTGCACGTTCGAAAAAGTTGTGCTCTATTTGAATTTTTTTTTGATGTGGCATAAGTGGCTTCTTGTGGCATTGATTATCACAATAAGCAATGTATATCATTTTGTAGGTGATGTATTCTTTGAGTTCTTTGCGCTTGGTATAGTAAAAAAAAATATATGATTGGTAATTTTAATGCTATATTGTTCAATATGTTCATGCTATTTTGCAAAAAGTCCCCAATAGTTTAAAAAAACCCTAAAAGTTTACAAAAATCATCCTAAAAAAATTATACATATATAGCTATTATAATTAAATGGGCAAATGGGCGGCCCATTTATTAAATGGGCGGGCAAAAACCCGCCCATTTAGAAAATGTTAAATGGGCCATAAATGGGTAAATGGGCAAAACATGCCCGCCCATTTATGACCCGCCCATTTAACACCCAAACCCGCCCATTTAACATCCCTAGCCCAAACCAAGCCCTTGTTTTTTGAAGGATAAGGAGAAGAGATAATTTAAAAAGCGGGCGAGAGTAAGTCGAAGAGAAGCCTTATCGTGTGCCATAGCAGCATTTCCCCCATTTTCCCTTTTCCCTCTCTTTCTTTTCCCTCTCTCTCTCTCTCTCTCTCTTTCATTCCGTAGCATTACAGCGATATTCGATCAATTGATTCGAAAATTTCCTTCTGAGATCCTCATATCGATCCCCTTTGCAGATGGAGAAAACCCTAGAACCATTTTTAAGTATTCCAATCAGAGCCCTAATAAATTCGAGGTGTTGATTGAACTAGGGTTCTTGGGGCGGAGATGGAGGGCCTCATGTTTTCCTCCCCCATGATCATTTCTCCAGGTATTTTGATTCAATTTCTTGTTCTAATTGGTAAAGTTCGTTTCTTTCTTCTTGCTCTTTGATCTATGAATGCAATTTAGATTCTATTCTACGTTCTGCTGTTATTTGTCGGCGCATTTGTCTTTGCTGATGCACGTTCTTTCGTATTCTCCTAGAAAGACTAGAAGAGTGAAGCCACGTGTCGCAGTGATCTTGAAGGTAGACGTTAAGACTGAACCAAACATCATTTAATCTAAAACGTTGGTTGTAAGTAGTTAAAAACAAATTAAGCACCCAGCGATGTATTCTTAGTTGGTTGCTAAACTACGCATGCAGCTAATTATGGTCTGAGCTTGAAGTAGTAAGTTGACCTAGAAACACTAAATATGTGAATATTGGAAAGGCTGCTTATTATTCAGAATTAGTTCAAGTCAAAGTTCATAATTCAGTTTCGTACATAATGCTAGATATAGGCAATCAGACATCATGCGAGTTGACAATCATGTTAAACTACTGATCTGTAGTTCATAATCTTGGTTTTATAGATAAGTAAATGAGCTATGCTCATGTTGGGTTTTAGAAAGTTTAGGTGAATCATAATCATCTTCAGTAGGCATCCTCGGAATCATAGTTGATTGTTATGTGACAGGACTTTGAGGAGGCCAATGATTATGCTTCCTGAAGTTAGTTTTACGATCCAGCAAAGTAATTAGAATCAGGATGAAGTAGTCAATTAGCCATTTGCTATCAAACTTGAAGATGCAGAGGTTATGAATAAATTGGAGATGAGCACTGAGGAATGTGGTATCCACTAATTGACCTATTTATGGACATCTTGTGTTCAGCTTAATGAATTGGGCTCAATTTTCAGATTGATTTAAGCTTTTAACCGGCATCTTCAAACTTATAAAAAAAATGATTCAGTAATAAGAACTTGGTTGGAAGCAATTAAGAAAGAGTATGATAATAATTAACTTAATGGAGAGGTCTTATGATAACTTAGTAGAGAGATATAGCCCTAGAGCTAAAGCAAAACATAAGATTCATGTAGCTGATTCAGAAAATTGAGATATAGGCTTGTTGTTGTTGGTAGGAGTTGTAGATTATACATTTTGATTAATTATTTCATGGTGGCATCTAATCAGGACATAGACGCACAAACACATGCATTAAATTGCCAGTAAACCAGAAATTACCATCACAAATCTTGTAAAAGTGCCTTGGTGGTATTTGCAAATTTCTGATGTTGAAGGATATTTGACAAATAAATCAACATTGCCCCTATACGCTGTCTCTGCAACATCTAGAGAATCAAATGTCATGTTTTCTCTTTAAGAATCCATGTTAATTTATGTCAGTACTGCAACCTATATATTGTAGAAGCCACAGAAAATTATTTTATTTAGCATTCCTTTTTTAACTTAATCTTTGAATGTTCTTTGATTATGATTATTTGATAAATATAGTCACCATATTATCTAACTGATCCTTCCTTGCAGTTGATGTGGAACCTCGTATGGAGGATGTTGATGAAATGATAGAAAATTCAGTTGCACGGGAACTATTTGCTTGTGAAGGAGAAGTCTTTGAACCATATGAAGGTATGGAATTTGACTCCGAAGAGGCTGCTAGGGCATTTTACAATGCATATGCTGCTCAGGTTGGTTTTAAAGTACGTGTCAGTTCATTCATTCGATCAAAACGTGACAAAACAATTATCTCTAGGCAACTTGTCTGTTCTAGAGAAGGTTTTCGTTCAGCTAAAGAGTCAAATGAAGAAGGAAAATGTAAGCGTCCTCGAATGATAACCAGGGTGGGATGTAGAGCTATGATTATGGTGAAGAAGCAAATTTCTGGGAAATGGATAGTTTCCAAATGTGAGAAAATTCATAATCATTTACTTGGGACACAGGGGAAAGTAGTAATGCTGGGTTTTGATCCCTATGCACGTGAAGGTGAAGTGATTGAAAACCCTATACCACGGGATTCCAATTTTTACAACAGAATGATGGATAATCCTCTTGAAATGGTAATTGTTCCACCTGAAGGGGAACCAGATCTTGAGCCACATGAAGGTATGGAATTCGAGTCTGAACAGGAAGCACAAACATTCTACAAGGAATATGCTAAGCGTGTTGGATTCAGAGCACGTGTTAGTTCTTATTACCGATCAAAGCGTGACAATTCCATTATTTCGCGGTTGATTGTATGTTCTAAAGAAGGTTTTCGTGCAAAGAAAGATGAAAGCGGCAAAGATAAACTTCAACGGCCAAGAGCCATTACAAGAATTGGTTGCAAGGCTATGATTATGGTGAAAAGGAGAGATTCAGGAAAGTGGATTGTTTCAAAACTAATAAAAAACCATAATCATTTACTGATTCCAAGGACAGAGTCGGGTGATGAGCATTCTGAAGCTGAGGATCATGAGATGGTCGAGACAGAGAATGCATTAGTTGTTCAGGGAGATTCTATTTCAGAACCATATGAAGGCTTGGAATTTGAATCTGAAGAGGCTGCAAAAGTATTTTACTTAGCTTACTCTAGACGAGTAGGCTTCAACATGCGTGTTAGTACATATTATCGCTCAAAACGTGACAAGTCTATCATATCTCGGCTGTTCGTATGTTCTAAAGAGGGATACTATGTGAAGAAAGATGCAGCTGCTGAAGGTAAGACTAAAAGACCTCGTGAAGCTACAAGAGTAGGCTGTAAAGCCATGCTAATGGTAAAGAAAAGTAATTCCGGGAAATGGGTTGTCTCTAAATTTGAGAAGGAACACAATCATGCACTTGGATCGATGAGGAAAAAGAGGCGTTTACAGAAACGAAACTTTTTTTCTGGTAATATGAAGAAATTAAAGGACAAGACTGAACTACAGCATACTGATTTGGAATCTGCAACTTCACGATACAACAGCCTTTGTCGTGAAGCCATCAAGTATGCAGAAGTCGGAGCAACATCTGCGGACTCTTACAATGTTGCACTGCATGCTCTACGTGAGGCTGCTAGAAAGGTTGTAGCTATTAAAAAAAGTGTTGGAGCTGATCAGAAACTTGGTGGTGGTTCTAGTAATGTGGAGGAAAATGTTAATACAGGCCTTCAGGTCCGTGCTGCAATTCATCAGAATTTCAACATGAGCACACATCCGTCAAATCCTCAACCAAAGCTAAGCTACGAAAGGCCTTCTCAAAAGTTAAGAATGTGCAACACATGCAAGCAACCTAGCAATCATACTGGTTGGACTTGTCCAACTGGGCAGGTAAAGACTTCCAATCTTACGATAACTCCTTGTTGTTAGCTCGTTCAATCCTGGTGGTTACACTTCTCTAAGTTTTTCTTTACTTCCAAGTCAATATTTTAACCTCGTACATTCTGCAGGTAAGCAGAGTTTCTACAGAACCAGCAGATACTCCAATGAGCCAATCAATGAGTTAACTGACAGGTGTCTGTTGCTCTTGGCACAATGTATTATAGAGGTACTGGTATTAGAAAAATATTTATTGTAGACATCACCTGTTAGGTAATACTCAATCAATAAGTATATCTAATATTATCATATGTATATAAATGTTAACAGCCTTACTGATGGGATATTACATGGAAGCCAATTCAGTCATGGATTGATACGTCGATGTCAAAGGCTATGTTCGATGCTTATTGTAGCATACGGAGCATTTTGTACAGTTATATGAAGGTATACACATTTATATATAAACAGCTGGCTCTACATAACTGTTCTGCTGATTAAAGTCAGCTAATGTCCAAGACCCCAATTCCTGGTCATTCTACAGTCAAAATGTCCTATAATAAAATATAGTTCTAACTGATTGTTAATGTATCCAACATCTTTTCAATGTTTTTATGCTGTATATATTTATGTGCTAATAATGATGCTAATAATGACCTTAGTATCCTATTATTATAAAGGAAAATTTCTTCGAATTGCACTATCAAACAAAACTTTACCTGTTTGAAGATTTCATGCCTATTTGAGTGAACTGGGGTTTAAGTTCAGCTATTTTATTCATTGGGTAATAGGGGTGTAAATCGAGCGGATATGTAGCATATTACTATTACCATGCATTTGATCTTTTTATCTTATGGATATAGGTGCAAAAATTGTCTGGTTTTCAAATTACTATTAGATATTCTTATTATATATGATAAGTTACATCTTCCTTTTTGGAATGCCGTAATTGTCCTTTGTACCATCACTATTTGATACTGTTGTACATGTACAAGTTTATTGAATAATGGTATTATGATCGTCAATCTTTATTCATTTTTAAAGTAAAGTTCTTGTTTAAGCCCCAAGTTCATAAACATATTCGGACGAAACTCTTCACTTAAAGAAGTTACGTTGTTTACTCCTGAATCTTGAAAAAATTTGGAGCAGAGACTCCTCTAGCTCATTTTATCTATTTTGGTATTTTATGCTGAAGTACGAGATATCTGCAGATGAATGGCTTGTATTTTTAAATTGACAAGAACTACCCTCCTCCCCCATATTAATATATTAAATTAAAGGTACCAAACATAACTGTAAATTTAATTTTAGAAAAATCGAGAGATGGCATAACGTTTATATACAATAATGCATATAATGAACTTTTAGAAATAAATTTTAGAACTTAGTAATTTTTAATGTCCTTTATTCACTGGCTGGAGGTTGTGCCACATCGTTGCCATTTGGGGAAATCCCCTCATATGACAATGATATGCATTTTTCTTCATATATAATACAAGTATTATGCCCGTGCTCGCATGGATTGTTTTGATTTTTTGGTTTATATATGATGGTTTATACACTCTTCAAATGCATAAAACTACTGTAGGTGATACTAGAGAAGATTGATTATATTTCTTTGTAGACTATGACTTACAAATCATCTATTAACTAATACATTAAATGCTTATGAAGGAAGAGACAATGAAAAATCTCGTTTGCTATGTTATGAGAAGAAGAGAATAGATACTTTTGTAATCACTTAAAATAAGTAATTTGAGTGGTAGGGTTTTTCTTAGAAAAATTAAAATCTTTAGTTTGAAATGTAAAATTAGGTAGCTTAACCATCAATCCCTCTTTTATAAAGCTAAACAAAAGTTTGCGATTTTTTAAAACCTAAGGAGCAAGATTAAGATGATATTTGATATTTTGTAGAAAGAGTTTTAATTGGAAAAGAATATTGGCATCATTTAATCCTTTGTGGGATAAGGGGTTGTGATTTCAATGCCCCTAGATTTTCAATCAAATCTCATGTTTGGTCCGTTGGGGATTAGGGTACTTTCATCTAACCTCCAAAATGGATACTAGGAAGTTCCACTAGCCCTTAGTATTTACGACATGAGGCTTCCCATAACCATTATACCCTCCCACTTGATGTCTTCTTCACACTAATGATAAATTATAATATTATAATATAATATGTTAAATTAGGTCATTTATAAATATAGAAAATTATGTGGTCATGTTTGTAACTTTTGAAGCTTTTAGGAGGCTCTTTGTGGGCTTTGAAAGTGCTGAGAGGCTGCCTATAATTTTCCAAAATTTTCAAGGTTAGTAATTTTTGAAACGAAATGGTTGTAAAAGTTTTAAGGCCGGCTAATTTAGCAAAAATTTTCTTGGGGTCATTTGTAACTTTTAAAACGTTCAGGAATTTTTTTTGAACTATTTGGTGGGTGTTTGTAATTTTGAAATTTTCATGGGGTTTGTTTGTAAAATTTTTTGGGAGTTGTTTGTAATATTGTAAAAGTTTTCAGCAAGGTGGTTGTTATTTTTGCAACCATTATGGGTGAGTAGTATAATTTTTAAAGGGTTATTTGTAAAATTTTTAAGCAATATTTGTAATTTTCAAAACCTTTTAAGGGTTTGGTTGTAATTTTTTTTTTAGGGGGGGGGTTCTTTGTAAAATTTTAGGGGGATACTTGTATTTAAAATTTTTTTTAGAGGATTATTTGTAATTTTTGGATTTTCTAGGGATTGTTTGTAATTTTTTGAATTTTAAGGGGGCAGTTTATAATTTTCTGAATATTATACGTTGTTTGTAGTTTTGGATTATTCAGGGTTTTATTTGTTGTTTTTGAATCTTAAGGGGTTTTTTTGCAACTTTTTGAGGCAAGTAGTAATTTTTAGATTTTTCTAGGGTATTTGTAATTTAAATTTTCAAGGGTTTTTTATAAATTTTTTGGAGTTATTTGTAATATTTCAAATTTTAAGTAGGATATTTGTAATTTTAGCAACTTTCATATGGCTAGTTGTAAAATTTTTAAATGGCTATTTTTATAATTTTTAAGGGGATTTTTGTAATTTTAGCAACATTCAAGACTATAGATGTAAAACTTTCGGGGGGATTGTTTGTAAAATTGCAGGGAGCTATTTGTAGTTTTTCAACTTTTTAGAATATTGTTTGTAGTTTTTAGATTTTTAAGCATTGCTTGTAAATTTTGGATTTTCAGCGAGCAGTTTATACTTTTCTAAGTTTTATGTATTTAAAATTAGGGAAAAATGCTTCCGGCCCCCAAAACCCAAGAAAACATGCTTCCCGCCCCCAAGACTTTGTCAACGGGTGTTTTACCCCCAAAAATAAATATTTTGTTCCCTAAGCTTCCAAAACACAAAACCCAAGAGATTAAAATATGTGAAGACCATAATATCCTTCTCTCTCCTTTTTTATCATGATGTACTGAGATGATAGTTAAAATGATTGATGATGATTATTTTATTATTTTTATTTTTTATTATTTTCGTTATTGATGAGGGGAACTAACTGTTTGTATTGGGAGATTGTTAAAATTACGAGTTAATTGTTAATGTTACGAGTTAATTGTTAAGGTTACGGGTTAATTGTTAAGGTTATGGATCCCCTCTCTCTCTCTCTCTCTTTATCATGATGTTACTGTGATGATGTTGAAATGATTGAAGGGGATTGTTATTTTATTATTATTTTATTATATTCGTTGTTGATGAGGAAACTAATTGTTTTTATTTATATTGGGAGATTGTTAAGGTTATAGGTTTAATTGTTAAGGTTACGGGTTGGTTGTGAATGTTATATATTTAATTGTTAAGGTTACGGGTTTAATTATTAATGTTACGGGTTTAATTGTTAAGGTTACGGATTTGTTGTTAAGGTTACGGGTCGGTTGTTAAGGTTACAGGTCGGTTGTTAAGGTTACGAGTTTTATTGTTAAGATTACGTGTTTAATTGTTAAGGTTACGGGTTTTTGTTAAGGTTACAGGTTTGTTGTTAAGGTTAGGGGTTTAATTGTTAAGGTTAGGGGTTAATTGTTAAGGTTACGGGTCGGTTGTTAAGGTTATGGGTTTGTTGTTAAGGATATGCGTTGGTTGTGAATATTACGTTTTGGTTGTGAAGTTAACCTACACAACAAACCCGTGACCTTAACAATCAACCCGTAACCTTCACAACCAACCCGTTATGGGTTTTTAGAATATTCGTTGTTAAGGATACGGGTTGGTTGTTAAGGTTACGGGTTTGTTGTTAATGTTACGAGTTTGTTGTGTAGGTTAACTTCACAACCAAATCGTAACATTCACAACCAACACATATCATTAACAACAAACTTGTAACCTTAACAATCGACCCGTAACCTTAATAACAAACCCGTAACCTTAACAACTAAACCCGTAACTTAACAATTAAATCCGTAACCTTAACAATTAAACCCGTAATTTTAACAATTAAACACGTGACCTTAACAATTAAACCCGTAACCTTAACAACCGACCCGTAACCTTAACAATTAAACCCGTAACCTTAACAATAAACCCGTAACCTTCACAACCAACCCGTAACCTTAACAATTAAACCTGTAACCTTAACAATCTCCTAATACAAACAAAAACAATTAGTTTCATCATCTAACAAAAATAAAAAAAATAAAAAAAAATAAAAAAAAATAACAATCCCCTTCAATCATTTCAACATCATCACAGTAACATCATGATAAAGAGAGAGAGAGGATCCATAACCTTAACAATTGACCCATAACCTTAATAATTAACTCGTAACCTTAACAATTAACCCATAACTTTAACAATCTCCCAATACAAACAGTTAGTTCCCCTCATCAACAACGAAAATAATAAAATAACCTCCATCAATCATTTCAACTATCATCTCAGTACATCATGATAAAAAGAGAGAGAGAAGGGTATTATGGTCTTCACATATTTTAATCTATTGGGTTTTGTGTTTTGGGGGTTCAGAGAACAAAATCTTTATTTTTGGGGGTAAAACACCCGTTGACAAAGTCTTGGGGGTGGGAAGCATGTTTTCTTGGGTTTTGGGGGCTGGAAGTATTTTTCCCTTAAAATTATTGGATTTTTCAATGGTTTATTTGTATTTTTGAATCATAATGGATTGTTTGTAGTTTTTTTATTTTTCACGGGCTTATTTGAGTGTTTAGATTTTTTAGGAAGTTATTTATAATTTTTGGATTTCAGAGGGTTATTTGTAATTTTTGGATTTAAAGAGGCTGTTTGTAGTTTTTAAATGTTGTATGAGACAATGTTGTATGAGACAATTGATAATTTTATAATCTCGAAGAACCCTTCTATATATGAAGGAGGTCTTTGATTATTAGTTAATTTTTAATTAAGGATAGTTTTAATTTGATGAGAATTCTTAGGTGAAGATAGGATTAGGAAGGAAGAGTTCGATTATTAGAAATTTCTAACTATGGATAATTTTAATTTGATGAAAATTCTTAGATAAAGAGAGTATTGGATGTCCACATCTCAGTTATTGATAGGATAGAGGGACACATGGCAATTCGTTTGACACAGAGCATATTTTTGTGCCTTTAATAGTAGTTTACCAATTTCTCTTTATATATAAATGAGAAATAGATTTTGATTTTGATGATACTATAGTACTTATTGCTATATAATGAAAAATATCATTTTCTTGCTTAAGCTAAGGGGAAAAAACAACAAAAATAACATTTTAAAGGAGGGGAATTACAATATTGAAGAGACATAAATGATTCTTCAGATTATATTTTAGTGTCATGTTTTTCCAATGTTTTTACCTTACCAAATCTTTTGGCATATCAGAAAGCTTCGTATGGTGGGATTAACCTCACAGAATCACAAGGAAAGAAAGAGGTTGGGGCGAGGTTCCTCGAAGATCTTCGATGGTCATATTCCTTTCTTTCCTCCATTTGAGTAATGGTTAGTCTTGGGCTGGAGATTGTATGAGTACATTTGGGAGAAAGCGAGTCATATCTTTTAACTAAAACTATGATTATGTACGTATATGTATAAATTCAGTATTTTAACAAAGAAAAATAGGTACAATAAGTTGGATGATCTTTTTCCAAATTCATTGGGACTTAGGGTTATACCACCAGCTTCTTTGTGTAGGTACATAGTCCAAATTGGTTTACAAATTAGTGGATTGAATCATTTTTTTCTTTTTTATTATTTGTTATCTGTCCATGATTATAGCATTATTATCTTTTGGTTGTCTATGTTGTTTACTATGTTGATGATCCTAATGTAGAATGTAGCACATGAACAGCTTAATGTTTATCAAAATAGCTTACTTCTCTGTGGTTACTATCTCCATTTATATTAAAGGTCTATTTTCACTTTGGTACCCTAAGTTTACCCCTTTGTTTAACTTTGACACCCCAAAGTTTTATTTCGACACTTTGATACCCTAAAGTTAAAAAAGGGTAAACTGTAGGGCGACAAAGTGAAAATAAGCCTAAAACGTACTGGTATGAAAGGAAACAGGTAATAGACGTTGTCTTGATGATGCTCCTTTTAATCTGTACGCTGTTTTGTATGTTTGCCTAACCTAAAATTTGGTGCTACTTCCACTGCTTCGGTGCTGCAGGTTGCTAATAAACGAAGGGATAATTTCAGGTTCGATGTAGCAGTGTTGAATGTTGGATCTGGTATAAGGAAAAGTTGTTGCATGGTTCCCGTCAGTAACTATAGATCTGTACTATGGACCCTTGGTCAGTGATAGCAGAAGCGAAACAAAGCGAAGTAACAGGCATAAGTGTGGTTAACAGTCTGATCCTTTTTTAACCGCCTTGTCTCTTGTGTTTATTCTCTCTTTCGGTGCAAAATAAATGCATTTCCCCTCTTCATGGAATCTGAATGAAGCAGGGTTTTATTAACGCTTTACCTGCCTGTATTTTACAGTTGGGAGAGGGTGCAGCGGGGTAGAGTGACAATCCTATCAGAACACCCCACTATAGGGGGTGATCTGAAACTTACAATGGGACTAAAGGGGGGCATTTTGGTTATTTAAATTGGCCCAGATCCTCCTACGCTGTGCGGGAGGTTTCGATAGGATTGGTGCTCAGCGGGGTAGATGGCTTTTAAAGTTTGTCAGTATGTGCAGCAAAGACATCATCATCCTGGTCCGTGCCTTGTTGCGTTGGCTTGGATTCAATATCAACTCTATATTATACTGTTAGCAAGTTAAGGAAATGATGCTCGTAAGGTCATCAATGAGAGAAGAGCTATTTCCATTTTCCCAAGAGACCGCTCGCCTTTCATCCAATTCAATTCATGGGCGAGAATTGGGAAACAGTAGACAGAGAACATCAGTTGGGTTGGTAGGGCCTCTTTTAGACTTGTTCACCGTTACGAGTTCATAAAATAGTTACTAGTATGGGTGTCGCTGCTACTGATGTTGCTGCTAATTTTCCTCCCGTTTGAGTTGAAAATGGATAAAGATATAGGCTGGCAAATAAATTATGAATCAACTCCGCCATTGATAGCTTCACATGGCCTCCTATCCATTGTTGGAAAGAATAATGTCCCCTGGCCTCAATTGGATGGCCCTCTCCAAGCTCTTTTTAGTCCTGCTGGCTAGTCCAGTTTAAATAGTCTTTTTCCTCCTATCAATTGCTTTTTACCCGTTTTTGGCATGGTAATTTTGGTGGTCTTGTTCGTGATTATGAAAGAACCTGCACATCTTTCAGCTTTATTTGTTACGAGTGTGTTACTTAATTTATTTTAAGCCTGATTTTATCACTGCTAGTGTCATATCATCATATCATACCGATTGTGCTTTGTGCTTACATCCTAGTTGTCTTGAGCTCGTTAGAATGTAAAAAATATAATACTCACCACAACCTTGAAGTTTTGGTGTAATGTTTAGAGGCTTTAAGGTGATATTAGAGCAACTGATGTACAAATCGATTAAGAATTCAAAGCAGATTTTCTAAAAATTTACACTACTGTGTGAGTTTAGGGGCTTATTGAGCTATTCCTCAAAATGGGATTAGGCTTGTCCCCAGTTTTATTTTGGGGAGAAAAGTATTGTGGCAATAAGTTGGACCAAGATTGGCCCAACTTTCCTGGCCTCAAATCTACTTCTTTTGTAAACCGACCCCCTTGATCTACAAAAGAAATAGTTTAGAACTAAAGTAGGCCAAGTTTGATCTTGGACTAGTTTTGTAAGGATCACCCTAGGTTTCCATCCATGAAAAAAATGCTCAACCTGCAAGGCCATGTTAGAATATAAACATATAGCTCTTAACCATTGCTACAAATACCGACTTTTGGTGTAATGGTTAGGGACTTTACTAGGCCAGTGAGCTTCCTCTATTGATTCTTCATAATTGTATTGTTCTTATGTTCAAGTGGACGATGGGGCAAAGAGTTTCACATTACCGGATTGAGAATAGTATATTATCATTGTCCATTTCATCAATACATGATTATTCTTTTTACGATGAATTGGTACTCCTTGCCCTATGGTAATTTTTTTTTGCTAATGTTACCAAATCAGAATATTAGTGTTGGAGGATAGTTGTCGGTTAATATCTTTACAAATCTATCGAGTTCTGCTGTTAATCACTAGTGAGAGAATTTCACAAGATCTTGCATTACTCACTAGTAGAAAATCACGTATCCTAGACGGAAAATTTTTCGTCTAGTTTTCTATTACTAGACGGAAAATTTCCGTCTAGAATATTCCGTTTAGGATAAAACATTCTAGACGGAAATTTCCGTCTAGGATAGCAAAGTAGACGGTTCTTTTATTTTTAATTTTTTAAAAGTTGGCCAAGTATCCTAGACGGAAATTTTCGTCTAGGATACTTGGCTCATTTTAAAAAATAATTTAACCCATCAAAACCCCAGCCGTCCTTTCTGCCCAAAATCAAAAATTTCATCCCCCAAAAATCAAAATTTTTTAGGAACCATCCCCCAAATCCTCAACTTCAAGCTCTAGCGCTCCTCCCCCAACCTCACCCCGACCCCTCCCTCCCCCTCTACTCCCTCTCCCTCCACGGCCTCCACCACCTCTCCCTTCTCCACCTCTCCCGCCTCCTCTCCTCCTCACCGGACCCCCTCCCGAACTCCTACATCCTCTCCTCCACCCTCAAGTCCTCCCCTCTCCCCATCTTCCGCGCCCTCCACTCCCGCGCCCTCAAGCTCCGCCCCCCACTCCAACCCCTTCATCTCCACCTCCCTCCTTAACATGTACGCCCGCGCCAGGGGGTCCCCTCCGCGCGCGCAGTCTTCGACTCCATGCCCCAGGAGTCGGCCAGGATGGTTGTCACCGCCATGGCCATGATCACCTACTATGCGAAGCCCGACGATTTGGATATAATTTGGTGTTGTTCAATATTGTGTACGTGCACTCAAAGTAGATTCTAAAAAAAAACCCATACTGTACCATCCTAGACGGAAATTCCGTCTAGGATGATCAAAATTCCGTCTAGGATGCTTATCCTAGACGTAAAATTTCGTCTAGGATGCTTACATGTATCCTAGACGGTTGTTTTTTTCGTCTAGAACTATTTTAGACGTTATTTTGTTCTGTTTAGGATATTATCGTAGACGAAAATTCCGTCTAAGATGATGCATTCTCGATGGTAACAAACTCGACTAACATCATAGACGGAATTTCATCTAGGATAACTAATTTAGAAGGAAATCTAGCTATCCTAGACGAAAAATTCCGTCTAGGATGATTGATTTTATTTTCTGTCTAGGATGCTTGATTTTCTACTTGTGACTATTCCTCTACTTAGCTTCCTAGACGGAAAATTCCGTCTAGGATGATTGATTTTATTTTCTGTCTAGGATGCTTGATTTTCTACTTGTGACTATTCCTCTACTTAGCTTCACAAGACCGAGTATAGCAAAATTGCTGTGTGTATAAGTTGAATATAGAGATGGACTTGAAAGCGTGGTAATTTCAGAGTATACTAACCTGTACACAGTATTTAGATGGGATGATTCAGATCTGAGAGGGGACTGGTGGTTATTTCTAATAATGTAGAAAGGTAGTACTTGTTAAGCTTACTGATACGAATAAGGGCGGTAGATGAAGCATTGAAGTTATTTCATAAAAGCCGCCACTTTCGGTTGCCGACTTTTCCCTTGCAAAATGCGTAATTATCTGTACGGCATCAGCTCATTTCCAAAGTTGTGCGTCTTTCTACTTATTAGATGTTTAACGGGAAGGGAGCATGAGAAACTTTGTCTAATTTAAGTATCTGATGACGTGAAGGGGTTTGTACGTTAGAAAGGAGTTGGGGGGCAACCGCCAACTTTACTTCCGTTGCGGGGCAGGAAAAGGATGCAATTGGCAACGGAGGATGGGAAGGAGGGGGGTTTGCGTTAAAAGTTGGGGGGCGAATTGAAAACGACCGCCCACGAAACCCAATCAATGCCCCGCTGCTAGCTGCTCACCACTCACCTAAGCATTCACTGCCTCACCTCCCTCCACCAATTTCAGTCCCCTCTCTTGCTATTTATCCCCCACCTCCCTCCCTCCTCCTTTCGCCAACTCGAAACCCTCCTGATAACAGCTCTTACTGATCTCTGTCGCTCCCAAAACCTTTCACCAATGGCAGCTGACGACGGTCACAATGCGGAACGAAGGAAGACTACTACAGCGTCAGTGAAGGTGAAGGTGGTCAACACGAGCATGGTTGCCCCGAGCAATAGGACGGAGACGGAGAGACCCGCTTCATGCCCGTTGATCACTTTCGACGTGCCGTACATTACCTTCTACTACAATCAGAAGCTATTGCTGTACAAAACATCAACCGACGACGAGGAGTTCAGGGGCGCCGTGGAGAGGATGAAAGAGGGTCTTGCGGCCGCTCTCGACTACTTCTATCCGTTGGCGGGAAAAATTGCCAAGGATGAGGACGGGTCTCTGATCGTGGACTGCAGCGGGGAGAGCTTGGTCGGCGCTGAGGTTATTGATGCGTCCGCAGAGGATGTGTCGGTGGAGGAGCTCGCCGAGGGCGAGACTACTGAATTGCTTCAGGAGGTGGTTCCTTACACCGGAATCATGAACCTCGAGGGCCTTCACCGTCCTCTGCTCGCCGTTCAGGTGACACTCGGTGACGCTTCCCCACTCTGCTTTGAACTTGAGTACTTAAATTGAATTAAAAAAAAAAAAACTTTAGGATCAGTAGTTTCGTAATTTTGTATCACCATACAGCTAGCTTCCTACCGCACACATGCTTTTCTTCTCCTCTTTTATCCTCGAGTTAGTGCTTGTACCGCGCCCAGAGAATCCCAGTTAGCTAAACGATATGCGTAGCAAAATTCTGGTAAGGGTTTTGTTAAGGACTCTTTCATTTTTTGGTGCAATAGTTATTTCAGCGAAGGAAAGGATAAATTTCTTAGCGAAGAATTTTTTGGTGCGATAGTTTATTTCAGTTAGCGCTTGTACCGCGTCCAGTTGAGGGGTGAGCTTGTAAATATGAAAGATGTGTAAGGGATATATGTGCAAAAAACCGGTCTTCTTTATATGATAGTGAGACTGGTCTTTTTGTTAATGAAAAGAGAAATGATAGATGCACACTCTCCACCACACCTCCAACCACACCTCCCCTCTTGCTACAGTGCACCGGGACCCACTTGAGATTTAAATTTTAAATCTCAAGTGGGCCCTGATGCACTGTAGCAGGAGGAGAGGTGTGGTTGGAGGTGTGGTGAAGAGTGTGCCTCTAGTGCCTCTCTAGTGAAAATAGAGTGTAGAGATTGTGACAGGCGGTCAGGACGAGTGTGAGGGTCACGTGCTGGATCCGTCCCAAGTCATTTTCCTTTTTTCTGGAGATCAGCCCATTCATGAGTATAGCATGATGACAAAAGGAGTAACAGGAACAGTTTAAACCCCCACCCTCGAACTACCAAGGGAGGTGATCATAAATCATAAATAAATGCAGGGCGACCTTCGAGAAGAGCATTGCCCGTAATTTCGGGCTTTGTTTTTAATTTCACGAGAGTTTAGGGAGGTGAAAACTAGCCACAACAACACGCCATATGTCGCATTTTGTCGTGTGATCTGTGTATAACGTTGCGCTCCCCCCTTTTTCTTTCTCTTTTCTTTTAGAATAAGAGGCTGTTTAGTTCAAATCCTAAAATTATATGAAATGGAAACTCATTAAGAATTTTAAATCCATAGCTTCTTACATATGTCTTGAAATTTTTGTAATTGTTTGTTTAGAAAAAAAGTGGGGAATGCAATTTCTAGAATTTTTTGTAATAAAAGAGAACTTTTTATATTTGGAACTGACATGGAGGGGTTTTGTCAGCTTTCTCGACCAAATCCTATCTGAGCCTGTTTGTTTATTTCCTAAAAAACCAAGAAATAGAAATAAAAACCAAGAAAACTCAAAAAGTACAATTTCATCCATTTCCATCCCTAAAACCCACCCACAATATCTAATAAAATATTATTTTTATCCAACAACTCATCCACCACATCTAATAAAATATTATTTTCATCCAACAACTCATCCATCACATCCACCACATCTAATAAAATATTATTTTTATCCAACAACTCATCCATCATATCTAATAAAATATTATTTTCATCCACAACATCACTCAACTCAACTCATCATTTCAAATCACTCACATCATCTAATAACATGGTGACAACTCATCTCATCTCATTAACATTTTTATTTTCACCCATTTCCTCTTAAAAAGTTAGGAAAATAATTTCCTTAAGTGTGACTCCCATCATCCAATAATATAATGACAACTCATTCCATCGCATCTATTTTCTTATTTTTAAGAATGAACAAAAAAAAAGAAAACAACTTATTGCAAGAAATATGTTTCTTATAATTCATTTCTTTATTTTTTCGCCAACCAAACAACATCAAAACAAATTTTCTTAAAAAATCACTCACATCATCCTATAATAAGGTGACAACTCATCTCATATCATCTCCTTTTTTTGATTTCCTTCTTTTTTTAGCAAACCAAACACTCCCAAAACAATTCTTCTTAAAAATAGCTTTCCATTTCTTTGATTTCCCGCTTTTTTTAGGCAAACAAACAGACCCTCTAAGGAAATAGGATTTGGCAAAATTTAAAAGTGGCTATCTATCTTTCGTCATTTTATGGATATCAAATCTTGACTTTTTTTTTCTTTTTTGAAACAAACATCACGTATGGGATCCTAAAAATTAAAATGAGTTGCTTTGTGCGCCAGGAATTTCTTCTCTACCTCAAAATCCCAAAATTTTGTTGAAAAAACTTTGTTTGGTTATGTTAGCATAAATAGTATAAAATCTCAAAATGCTCTTATTTCATCTATTCTTTCATGTTAGGTCTATTTAGAATTAATGTTAGGTCTAATTTCATGTTAGATCTATTTAGAATTCATATTAAGTCTAATTCCATGTTAAGTCTATTTAGAGTTCATGTTAGGTCTAATTTCAGTTCATGTTAGGTCTAATAATAGTTCATGTTAGGTCTAATAATAGTTTATGTTAGTGTAGACACTCAAAAATTACCAAGAGGCAGACGAGGTTCGTAACTCGTTATAATGAACCTCGCTAGCCAAGACAAACGTCGAAGTTCAGTTGAAATTCAGAAAGGCGAGGCTCGATAAGACAATGAGGCTCCCGCTCGACAAGGCACCCGCCTTTCGAGTCGACACAGGGGGTCGTCTCGTCTCGGACTTCGAGCCGATGATCACCGCCTTTTGAGTCGACACATGGATCATCTTGTCTCATACTTCAAGCCGATGATCACCGCCTTTAGAGTCGACACAGGGGGTCATCTCGTCTCCGATCTTCGAGTCAACTACCAACGCCTCTCGAGTCGACACGAAGGAGATCTCGTCTCGGATCTCGCCTCGGACTTCGAGTCAACTATCATCGTCTCTCGAGTCGACACGAAAGTGTTTGCGTCAGGAACAAGTTCTGTTGTAGAATTCATTATAACTATTTATCGATTACAACGAATACAAAAGAGTGAGCTTCGTACTTTGTAAAACTACTCTTTACAACAAAAAAAAATCAAATTACAAGCTCCCTAGAAACAAACGCAGGATCGTTGTTTGGATCGCTGCTTGCGTGGGATCTTTGCCTGTGCCGGGGGTGCGTTAACTCTTCTAAGGATCGTTGTTTGAATCGTGAAGATTTTGGGGATTCTTCCTTCGTTTATCGAAGTAGAAATTTAAAGCGAATATCTTATCGATGTAAGATGTTCACTCTTCTAAAGATCAAGTCAGAGCTTAGATCTCTAGGAATGGCCAAAAGCTTCTTAAGGATGTTTATGAAGAAGGAAGACTCTCTCTCTTGCTCCAAAATACTCTCCCTCCTTTATTTCGTGCTTAGGGAGGTATTTATAGGGGTAGGAGTGCACCACAGTTGAAATGAGGGTGAAACAATCGACCAGATGAACCTTCTTTGGTCGCGGCAGCCAACACTGCCGCGGCTATTGGCGTGGCAGTGTGGACTGCCGCGGCCAAAGGAGCAGTTATCACCACGTTCTATCGTGCTTGAAACTGTTCTCCCACGACCTTTAACCACCTTTTTCGTGGTTTAACTGCTTTTCCACGTCAGCACACGTTCTATCTCTGATATGCCGCCACGTGGGCTTCAAATAATCATCGTATAACTGCCTTGTAACCGCCGCAGCACTCCCCCATAATAGCCGCGGCACCATAGGCTGCCGCGCCTTAGCCGCGGCACCATGTCCTGTCGCGCCTCAGCCGAGCTGCCGTGTACTGCCTGTTGGTGTGTACATTGTTCTTCTGTGTTGTCTCGCTTCTTTTGAATGATCCCCTCTGATTAAGAGAATAGCGTTTATCATCTTCTCTTTGCCTTGAGTGGTATTTGGATGTCTGTAAGCATTTTTAGACGCCTACAGATACCCCCTCCAAAGTATCTCAGACTCATCATTATTTGGAGAGGAGTCTGAGACACTTTGGATATGACAAATTTTCTTTGCAATTTCTTCAGTACTTTGTTGAGGAAGTTGCGTAACATAGTCTATGGATGGCTTCAATTCTTGACTTCTTCATCTTTTAGCTTATTCAGTGTTTTGTAGAATAGCTAAAATTCCTCCGGTGCTGCGTTTATCGCGTGGCCGTTGTCGAAGTCTTGAATTTGAACTGCCGTCGAAGAATGGAGAAATAGTTTATACTCATATGCTCTATTGGAGTGTTCGGGAAATAGTTTAACCTCATATACCCGTTGGGAGGTTCAAGGAGATGCAGTTTATACTCATACACTCATCGGAGTGTTCGAAAAATAGTTTAACCTCATATACCCGTTGGGAGGTTGCCAGGTTATTCTTAAGAATATTCTAAGTGATATTCTCTAGAAACTTCCTATCGAGGGTAGGGAAATAGTTTAGACTCGTGTACCTATTGGAGTATCTTGGTCTCTTTTTTGTTGGTAGAGATGAACCCGAAATCGGAGAGGAAGAATTTTATATTCTATCTCTTGGTCTCTTGTTTGTTGGTAGAGATAAACCCCAAAATCGGAGAGGATGAATTTTATATTCTATCTCCTGGTCTCTTGTTTGTTGGTAGAGATGAACCCAAAATAGGAGAGGAAGAATTTTATATTCTATCTCCTGGTGCAAAAGAAACTCAAAGTGGGATCTCCACTTAGAGAATCTGGATTGGTTTGAATAATCCTAACTGTCATAAGGTTTGACTATTCAACTCAAAAGTGGACCTTTCGTTTGCAATATGAATCGAAAGGAGACTTTGGTTGTGGTCTTAACTGTAATAAGGTTTGACCAAGTGGGAGTTTTGAGACGATCCTAACTGTAGGAAGGTTTGACCGCTCGATTTGTGGACCTCTCGTTCATTGAAGGAATCGAGAGGGGATTTTGGCTTTGGTCCTAACTGAAAGGAATCGAGAGGGGATTTTGGCTTTGGTCCTAACTGTTTAAAGGTTTGACCAAATGGGAGTTTGAGATGACCCTAACTATTTAAAGGTTTGACCGTTCAATTTGTGGACCTCTCGTTCATGAAAGGAATCGAGAAGGGATTTTGGTTTTGGTCCTAACTGTAGGAAGGTTTGACCAAATGAGAATTTGAGACGATCCTTACTATAGGAAGGTTTG